AACACACGTGTCATCCTATCAGTCTTACAAACCCTATTACAAAAAAGCTGGGACACTTTGTAAAAAGAAAAAAATATCAAATGTTTAAATTGAGAAAATGTACCATTTTAAGAAAAAAAAAAACAATTTAAATTAAAATTGATGGCAGCACCATGTCTCAAAAGAGTTGGGATAGGGCAACAATAAGTTGGCAAAGTAAGTGATACTAACAAAGAAGAGCTAGAAGAACATTCTGCAACTAATTAGATTACTTGGCAACAGGCCAGCAGGGGCAGACTGACAACTCAAGGGGCCCCCGGGCAATAGGAGATCATGGGGCCCCTGTGTCCTTGCCTACACTCACACCACACCCAAGAAAGCCTATGAAAGGTACCAGGGGCATCTCATGGGGCCCCTACTGACCCCGGGCCCTCAGGCAGTGCCCGAGTTCCCAAATGGTCAGTCCGCCCCTGCCGGCCAGTTTCATGTCTGGGTAAAAAAGGCATGCCTCATAAGTAAAGATGGGTAGAAGTTCACCAATCTGTGAAAAATTTTCAAATAATTTCAGAATAAAATTCCTAAGAGAAAAAATTGCAATGACTTTAAATATACCATCATCTACAGTGCATAATACCATCAAAAGATTCTGAGAATCTGGAGCATTCTATGTGTGCAAGGCAAAAGACCAAAAAACGAAATACTTGATGCTTGTGCTCTCAGGCACTCAGACGTCACTGCATTAAAAACAGGTATTATTCTGTGATGGACATCACTGCATAGGCTCAATAAGACTTCCAAAAATTACTGTCTGTGAACACAGTTCTCTGTGCCATCCAAAAATGCAGGGTAAGGCTTTATCATGCAAAAAAGAAGCCATATCTGATTATGATACAGAAATGCTGCTGTCTTCTCTGGGCCAAAGCTCATTTAAAATGGTCTGTTGCAAAGTATAAAATTGTTCTGTGGTCAGACGAATCAAAATGTGACTTTCTTTTTTGGCAACCATGGACGCCGCATCCTCCAGACTAAAGCGGAGAGAGACCTTCCAGCTTGTGATCAGCACTGTTCAAAAACCTGCATCTCTGATGGTATGGTGGTGCCTTACTGCATATGGAATGGGCAGCTTGCACATGTGGAAAGACCTCATCAATGCTGAAAGATATATCCAGGTTTTAGAGCAGCATATATTCCCATCCAGATGACATCTTTTTTAGAGAAGGCCTTTGCATATTTCAACCGCGTACTGCATCTATGACAACAGCATGGCTTCATAGTAGAATAGTCCAGGTGCTTAACTGGCCCATCTGCAGTCCAGACATCTCACCAATTAAAAATATTTGGCGCCTCTTGAAACAAAAAATACAACAAAGACGACGCAAGAGTGTTTAAAGTGATATTAAAGGCATTTAAAAAAAAAAAACAAACATGTCCTCCTCTTCTCAGGTCCCGCACTGGCGCTCCTGGCTCCTCCCTCCTGCCAAGTGCCCCCAATGAGGCTATGAAGCTACCAAAGCAGGCTTGCTGTCAGGCTGCTGCTCTGTGTGTCCATTCACACACAGAGCCGTGGCTCGGCCCCACCTCTCTCTCATCATTGGTTTACTGGCTGCAATTGACAGCAGCGGGAGCCAATAGCTTCTGCTGCTGTCTCAACCAATGAGGCGGGAGAGTCCCGGAGAGCCAAGGCTCTCGTGCATGGCACTGGATTGCAATTGGGGGGGGCAGCAAACAAAAGGTTTTTTTTTTACCTTCATGCATAGAGATAGAAAAAAATCCTTCAGCCTTTTCAACCACTTTAAGACGTTAGACTGCTATAGCAAGCAGGAATGGGGCAACATTCTTTAAAAACTCCAGTAATTGGCCTTCCCAGTTGTTTAGAGTGTTGTTGAAAGAAGAGGATGCTACACCGTGCAAACATGGCCCTGTCCCAACTTTTTTGAAGCATGTTGCTGTCAACTTTTTTGGAACTAGGTTTGTAGATCAAGGAGATTGTGAATCCAAATGGGTTTACTTTAAGTAAAGCAGAGAGGGTTGGATTGCCAGCCTCACATCTACCTTATATTTTAGGAGCTTTTTCAATAAGTACATTTTACTACACTGTATCGGTGCTTAGGATACCATAACCAAGACATTCACATACATTTATTGGTTTTCAGATATGAATAAAACATGTATGAAAATGCATTTATGTGTTTCATTCCAAAATACTCTTCTCTGTTTAAAATGTAACAGCCATGAAAGACAGCACTACAAATGAGTGTAGAAGCAGAAAAGGTAGAACATGAAAGTACATACCTACATACTATTCACAAATATGAACACATTTGAAGTGTTTTTCCTTTCCATAAATTACTTTTATTCATTTGCAATTTGCCTTTAAACTTGCTAGAAATCTTGACTTCTCTAAGAACAGTTCACTCCCCAGCATCGCCCTACTCATTCCTTGCGTCTCATAGCTATCTCCTCTTTTGGAAGTGTCTAAATACTGTCTGTGTTGGCCAAGCACCCACGCACTGCTACCTTCCCCATTCCCTACATAATTTGATGGGAAGGTTAGTGCTGAAAGGAATAGTCTGGCAACAGGATCTCTAAGAAAATGAAAGCCCACTCAATCCAGCAGAGGAACAGCACTGGATGGTACATTAGAGAGTCCATGCAGTAAAGCATTGACAAGGAGGCAAGTATTGCAGTAAGAGCTGTTTTTTTTTTTTTTACTTTACTTACTGCAGGGCTATGTATTTTTATGTTTTTGGTAAAAATTTGAGTTGGGTTTTAAATCAGCCTTACCAACTACAATTATTAAAACAATAAAATAATCCTAAAAGTGTAAACAAAAAAGCTGCCATGCCAACTTCTTTTTAAAAATGTACAAGTTCTAGGGTTGTCCTCCTTATCCTGCCATCACAACCTGCTACAGAACATGCTTGTGCCTCACTGACTACATACTGACATTTCACTGACTGGATGCTTGTTCCCAATCTGCGACGAAGTAATGATAGAACAATAAGGTTTACCATAGTATACCATGTACAAAGAGGCAGTATATTACTAAAATATGCTACACCGATTGTTAAATCTGTTCCCATGGAGAGGAAGGGTAGAGTTACATCCAGTACAGAGTCCCGTCCCTCTCCATTCTGAAGTGCTGTCTCCTCATCTCTGCGGTTTAGATTACACAGAGTCCAGAACTCCAGTCTGCTATTCACAGGAGCAGAGAGAGTGGAAACTGTGAGCTTGTGTTTTAAATGACGGCAGCCGGAGACGAGCACGTTAATTCACAAAAAACACAAGATGACAACAGCACACATCGGCTACTACACTAGTCCAAACCTACAGTACCTGATTCAAGCTATTGTCAGCTTTTGTTTTCATGAAGGAAAGCTCTTTTCTCTAGATGCGATCATTCACAACGCAGGCTCATAATTTCCACTCTCTGTGCTCCTGAATAGCAGGCTGCAGAGCTCCAGGCTCAGTGTAAATTGAACAGCGTAGATGAGCAGGCAGCACAGCAATGCTCTGTCTAGCAGCTTGGGGGGGGGGGGGGGGGGGGAAGCTGTGCAGGCTTTGTGTGCATTGCCTGTTACACCCCCTCTAATCTGGAGCGGTCACTCAGAAATCCATCCCTGTTGATTTGTGTTGTCGGATAGGTAGGCAGCTGGGTGGGACTTGCTATCCTACGACACAGCTCAGCAACCCCTGTATGGATTTAGATGGGGGGTGGGGGGGGGGGGGGGGGGGGGGGTAACAGGTTCTTTTCTTCTAGTAATAGCTCCTATTGCAGGAATTTAATCAGTGTCTGTGGGCAGAATATGCAAAACTCACAATTCATCATGGGATCAAAGTTCTTAATTTAGACCTACTGAGCTATGATATGTTCAAATTTTAATCTTTTAATTTTCCACAAGCTTATGACTGTTAAAAGCATGGAAACACCATGAAGAAGTTCTTGATGCTTTTAAAAAAATTGCTATGCTTCAAACTTGCATGACACAATCTGCATATTGAGATGCTTGTTAAACAGTTGCTCTTAATGCTGTCAGACAAATAATGTAGCAATTAACACAAAAATTTAACTCTCACATCTAATTTTAAAGCCCACGTACCACAGCTCTTTATCCCTTCATAGGTCTGTAGCCACACATTGCTTTGAAAGACTTTCACTCCATAAAATATATAAATATTCCAGTACTCTGTGCTGTCAGGGCTAAGTAACAACATCATCCATCAACACATTTGTCCGTACGGACTTGTACTGCAAAGAAAGACGGAGTGTGTCAGACTAGGCCTGTTACTAAGTGCTGATTACTGGGTGCACTGGGTGCCTAGTGGGCTCACATTCAGACACATTACACATGCTGTATCAGTAAAGGGGAGGCAAGAATATATAATGCAGGTTGTAACACAACTTACAGACTGCATTTCTGTGACTTCAGTTAGGCTTTAAAAATGTAGACTATACCCTGCCCAGTGGAGAGCTACACAAGTAGCTGTGCAATCTGTTGCTGCGGTGAACCCTAACTTTTGGAAAAAAGTCAGCAATGAGGACAGCCCTCGGAGCATCCCATAATACAATGTGGAACCTTCAACAACCTATTGAGTCATGCTCTACACTACACTACAGGGTGTGCTGAGTGGGTTGTTAGGCTACCTTGAATTAACAGGCTGAGAAGTCATTTAAATCAAGTTTACATTCAAAAGGCTAGTTGTGTGGGCTCTGAGAAATAACAGGTTTACTTTTAGAGCGCTAAAATTTATCAGGATAATAAATATAAAAATATGTGGTTATTCTGTGTCCAAAGGATTTCAATACCTGCAACCATATACAAAAATAGATTTATGTTCACACAAGAACCAGTTGCATTGTAATACTAAAGCAGCATCCTCACATAAAATACAATCTCTATCTTCCGACTCTGTATTGCTCTGCCAAACGTCAGTGCATTGTTTCCTGCTAGGATACCCATCCTGGTTTATCTAGGTGCAGGTAAGAGCACAAATTTAGTTCCACAGGAAGGCTGCACCTGTTAACTATTTCCAGGAGTTGAGTCTACCTTTGAAGGACTGGCAACACGTGATGAGTTTAAATGCGGTTCCTTGTCTAGAACCTCATAATAGAGAAAATAAAATACTGGTGTGACCACTCCAACGATTACCATGATGACAACAGCTGTCCACCAACCCAATCCCCAGTCTGCTCCATAATATGGGTCTTTTGGTTTGGCCGCTTTGTAATCAGATTCAAATTGGAGATCTTGGCTTAAAGCAGAAACAACTTCATGAAGGTTTTCTTTTGTCACGTCGGTGGACATCACTATGTGCTTGATATCTCGATCTACTTCTTGTAGAAAACTGTCCGCTGTCTCTAAAGGTAGTGCCTCAAGAAATAAACTGTGTTGCTGGTCTTCTGAAGGCTGGCCAGGCAGAGTCCTGGATTGTTTACCCTTTGGGGAAAACTGTGGGTCAGCCAATAAACTGAAACGCTTCACAGGAATTTTTATTGTCCTCAATGCAAAAAAGTCCTGTTCATTAATGAGGTTGTTGGCTCTTTTCAGATCTGCAACCTGTAGAGATACACAGCATATAAGTTAATATATTTAAGATAAATAGTGACATCTGTAATTTTTCTCTATAAAATTACAAAAGATCCTTACTCAGCCTTTAGGGAAACAATTTTTTTTTTTAAACAAAATTCTGCTAGACATATACAGTTATGGAAATAAGTGTTTGATCCACTGCTGATTTTGAATGTTTGCCCACTCACAAAGAAATGATCAGTCTAAAAATTGAATGGTAGGTGTATTGTAACACAGAGACAGAACAGCAACAAAAAGTTAAAAAAAAAATGCATGTCTAACAAATGATGCACTGATTTGCATGTTCATGAGGGAAATAAGTATTTAATCCCCTTCACAAAACATGACATAATACTTGGTGGCAAATCTCATCTGACCACAACACTTTCAACCAGTCCTCCTCTGCATCATTCAGATGTTCAGTGGCAAACTTCAGAAGGGCCTGGACATGTGCTTTGATGAGCAGAGGGACCTTGCGGGCACTGCAGGATTTCAATCCTTGTTGGTGTTACCAATTGTTTTCTTGGTGACTGTGGTCCCAGCTGCCTGGAGATCATTGACAAGATCCCATGTGTAGTTCTGGGATGATTCCTCACTGTTCTCATGATCACTTACACTCCAAGAGGTGAGATCTTACATGGTGCATCAGACTTAGGGAGACTGACAGTTGTTTTGTGTTTCTTCCATTTGAGAATGATTGCACCTTCACCTGAGAAATTGTCACCTTCTCACCAAGCTGCTTGGCGATAGTTTGGTAGCCCAGTCCAGCCTTGTGTAGGTCTACAATCTTGGCCCTGATATCCTTGGACACCTCTTTGGTTTTTGCCATGGTGGAGAGTTTGGAATCTTATTGTTTGATTGCTCCTGTGGATAGGTGTCTTTTATACAGGTAACAAAATGAGATTAGCAACACTCCCTTTAAGAGACTGCTTCTAATCTCAACTTGTTACCTGTATGAAAGACACCTGGTAGCCATAAATCCTGCTGAATGATAGGGGATCAAATACTTATTTCCCTCATGAACATGCAAATCAGTACATCATTTGTTAGACATGCATTTCTTTTGAATTTTTTGTTGCATTTCTGTCTCTCAGTGTTACAATACACCTACCATTCTTTTTTTTTTTTACCATTCTATTTTTAGATTGATCATTCCTTTGTGATTGAGAAAACATTCAAAATCAGCAGGGGATCAAATACTTATTTCCTTCACTGTACCTCAATGTAACCGCAGAAAAAACAATTAAAAAAAGCTTTATTTAGAAAGGTCTATGGACTCCCACAGCGTGGCTGCACTCTAGACACACAGGTGTTTCTCTAAATATATTCCTCACTAGCATTAAAGGACATAATTCACTTTTGTGTGCCAAATGCCTTTGCAAATCCAGATACTACCTTTTAAAAGTTGCAGAGACATCAGCAATATGCTGTACATAGTATGTGCACAGAACAAAGCTGTAAGAGGGACAAATCAGGTCCACTCACTACAGGCTCCCTGCCAAAAACTACAGAGTAGTGGACAAATACCAGGCATCCAGCAAAAGGAAGGAAAGCAGCAGTGATTGGTCTTTAGTACAGGAAAACTCCTACATAGAGGCAAAGTACAGGAGTTATTTCATGGTGGATTTCTGTACAGATCTGGAAGAAATACTCAAAAGGATTACATACCAATAAAACATAACAAATAAATCACGCACATACAAAAGACCCATGTCACAAAACTTTAAATGACGATGTACACCAACCATTAAACAACAAACCATAAAAGGCAACACAAATGAGTGGATTTCTGTAACATGATTCAAGTTTAATTACAAGAGGCATATATACTTTGTCAATTTTTCTTTGGCCCTGATGTCGAAGGAGAACCTGTAGAGAGCAAATATAGAGGCTACCCTTGCTGTCCTCTTCTTTTGAAAAATGTCAGTTGCACAGCTGTTGCTCCAAGTAAAACCAGTGGATCAGAAATACATTTGCAGACTTCTGACTTTACTCCAACTTAGCTTTCTGCATACAGCAAAGCAACAAGCACTCTACCAGTCAGGCATATAAGGAAAAAAATAAAACTTTGTTAGAGCAGCCTCTCTTTATGTCTAAACTGAACATGGCTGGAACAGGCCACCTGTCCCCACTCTTCTGAGATTTTATGCTGTGAAGCCTGTCAAGATTCGCAAAGCCTTTTCTCCAAGAGTCTTGCAGCTTGGCTCTGCTTCTTCCATGCACAGACACCACAACCAGCTTTCATTTCTGTGGACAGGCCACTTTTTTTTGACTGGACAGTGCTTGGCCAGTTTGGCCAAGACTTTGATGCATATGTGCAGAAGATGCAGAGCCCTGCCAGGAGACTTTTGGAGAAGAGGCTGTGTAGCGCCCAGCGAACATCTCAGAGCGGTGGAGACAGACAATTGTAAAACATGGTGGGGTTGCAGAGGTTGCACATACAAATTATAACTGTCCTAAAAACTAAATTTATCCTGTAGGCACATACCTTATTTTTCAAAACACAATTTTTTTTGCAACATTTGACCTTTCACCACTTTTCTAGCACTGTATGCTTTAAAGCAGTAGTGTCACTGTCATTAGCACTGATCATAGACAAAAAGCACTGAGCCAATCACAGTGGCTCTGTTCTTTGTGATCACTGTGGCAGTCAATCACAAATGTACACAAAAGCGATACTGTACATTACAGAGCCCCCTCCCTTTTTCTAACATTGGAGGAAGGGAAGGGACAAATGATTTCATGAAAAAAAGATTTAATGATTGAAGGGTAGGAAGCAAAAAATGTTATTCAAGTGTTACTAAATCCGCAACAGTAAAATCAGTCTGTATATGCAGTAAACATGCTTGTTATACTCACTGTGGAACCCAACGGGTTAATCCTCTGAATTGTGTAAATATGCTGTTTGATCCTGACTTCTCTGATCTTCCCCCCTTCTTCCAGTGCCCCCCCTCTTATCTTCTGATAAGACAGATCATGTGGAGTCACTCTGCACATGCTAAATTTGGTGTGTATTGCTACAGAGTTTTCTTTTTCCTTGGGAGTGTGCATGTGATCACAGGGCCTATCAGCACTTTCCAGATAGAGGTCAGGGGTTCTGCATCCTCCTAGAGCAAAATGAAAACTCTTGCTACAAGCTTTAAACCAGTGCTTGGCTGGACACTGATAGAAGTCACAAGACTGCTCTAACTGTTGATGAGAAAAGGTATTTAGCAGTTTATATTTACTAAAATAATTGCATTTCCTTGTTCTGTGTACTGTGGGAGACCAGATATAGTGAATGCAGGGTCCTGGGATTAGTAACACTTTAAAGGATAAGTGCACCTGTGGGACAGGTTACCCGTTTTTAGGTTCACCTGTGAACATGTTACCAATGCTGCAAGAGAATTACGGGAGGGGGAGTTCCCCGTACTGTCAGATTTGAAAACAGCGCGGCCGTGTGGGGCTCCACCCACATGGCCACATCACTCATTTCCAGAGTTCTGTGAATGAACTGCAAGTCCCGACAGCTTTAGCAGCTACCAGCTTGTAGTTCTCAATGAACTACCACGGAGCTGTGAAGCACCGTGGCAGTTCATTGATTCTTCATGTCAGTATATCTGCAGGAGACCTTTATGGCACCAGTGATCTGCTGATCATTGGTGCAATTGCTTTACAGGCTCCTGCAGACCAAAATAATGAAGGCACATTTTTTTTATCTGCAAAAAAAATGTGCATTTATTAATTTTGTGAACTTTTGTGAAAAGGTGAACTTATCCTTTAAGTTTATTTTATAGGGGAACATTTTTAACCCCTTTACCCCTCTTTCTGTATATATCCCATCTTCGTCCTGTCTCTGTATTTTAAAGTGATACTAAGGGTTCTGTTTTCTTTAAAATAACAAACATGTTACTCTTATTTGCTCTGTTCAATGGTTTTGCACAGAGCAGCCCCAATCCTTCTCTTCTCAGGTCCACCCTAGTAGACACTCCTAGCCCATGCCTCCCTACATGCTTGCTCCCGAGCTACCTCTGTGTGTCCAGAGATACACAGATCACAACTTGGCCATGCCCCTTCCTCACTGGTTGTGATTGTCAGCACCGGGAGCCAATGGTTCCCACTGCTGTGACTCTGCCAATGAGGAGCGAGAGCTGCTGTTTTCATCCACAGCACTGGTGTGAGATTGGGCTCAGGTAGGTATTGGGGGAAGCTGCACACTGAAGGTTTTTTACCTTCATTCATAGAACGCATGAAAGAAAAAACCTTCAGCCTTTTCCACTTTAACCCCTTCACCTCCTCTTCCATTTGTGTATTACCTGTACATTAATAATGCACTGTATCTGGTGCACCATTACCAATTTCCATTATTTAACCACGTCAATACCAAGCCTGTTTCTTAATATTTTTAAAAAATGTCACATAAAAGAATAGGATCACCTTGGGGTGTCTACTTTCAAAAACTTATTTTCAAAAATGTTGACTTTTTAAAGAATAAAAAAAACAGTAGTTAATAAATACCATCGAATAAAGCTATGTCTCATAAAATGGTATACAATTAATTTAAGTACAAAAAAAAATTCCCAGACCTGAAAACTTAAATATGGCCTGGTAACAAAGTGGTATATACAGGCCAGAACTCAAGCTGTTAAAATGTATGCTGAAGTAGCAAAACAAGGAAGTACTTACAGTACAGCAATGTTGGAGGGCTATTGAATTTAGGGTGTCCCCTTCCGCAATGTCCTTGCTGATAAAAATGATGTCATCAAGACGTTCTTTGGAAGTGCTCCTTCTAGTCTTCTCTCTCCCTCGGGGCCGTAGTTCATATTCTTCAGGATCCTCTTCTGATAAGTCAGTCTCTGAATTGCCCATAGGTGCAAAGTGATAGCTATGACCTAGTGTTGTGGATGACACAGCTGCTGGTTTCAGGTAACTGCGGGAAGGGTGCTTGCCAGTCATCGTTACAGTATCTGCTGAAGAGAATTAAAAAGGTACAGAGTGATTACTCACAATTCATTAGACAATTCTACACACAAGATAACACAAACTAATTTGCTCAAAAATGAGTGCCCTTAATAACATGCCACATTTCACCTAGGTTTAAAGCAGTAACAACAAAAAAAAAAAAGAAAAAAAAAAAAAGGAATTTTATGGTCAAAGCATACATTTTCATTTTATAGCATAGCAAAATAGTTATCTCTGACAACCCAATGTAAGCTTGCCATTTGACCAGGCCGTTTCTGACACTTTGTTAACATGTAAAATCAATATTTTTTGCTAGAAAATTAGCTAGAACCCACAAATATTATATAAATATTTTTTGTAGAGGCCCTAGAGAATAAAATGGTGGCCCTTGAAATTTTTATGTCACGTAGTATTTGTGCAGTGGTTTTTCAAATGCAATTTAAAGTAAATAAATACATTTTAATTCAAGAATATACAACATATAACCCAATATTTTATACAATATAAAAGGTGATTTTACGCTGAGTAAATAGACACCAAACATGTCACACTTTAAAACTGTGCACGCTTGTGAAATGGCACCAAACGACGGTACTTAAAAATCTCTATAGAAGACATTTTAAAAATGTTTATAGGTTTCCAGTTTAGAGTTACAGAGGAGGTCTAGTGCTAGAATTATTGCTCTCGCTATAGCATTCACAGCAATACCTCACATGTGTGGTGCAAACTTAGTTTACAAATGTAGACACGATCTATGTATGCGTTCACCACTGCGTACAAGCATGGGGAAAGGGCGGGGGGGGGGGGCGCTTTAAAATTTTTATTTTTTTAAATTTATTTTATTACTTTTTTATACTGTCCCTGTAAATTTTTTGATCACTTTTATTGCTGTCACAAGAAATGTAAACATCTCTTTTGATAACAAAGCATGACAGGCCCTCTTTATGGAAAAATCTTTCCTCTACCCTAGAAAGAATCAGATTAAAAAAAAAAATAAACGGCAGTGTTTAAATCTGCTCTAAACCGAAGTGACATCATGACGTTGCTTCTGACCTACTAGATCATAGAGGCCATCAGAGACAATCTGATCTCTGGTAACCTCTATAGCCAGCCGACGCAACTGCCGGTACGGATCCCGGGCTCCCTGGTGGAAGGGAGAGAAGAGTGGTGTGGAGACCCTACTGTCAGAATACACTGACACAGTGGGGGAGATCCCTGTATCTACACTGCTTGTGTGAATGCGAGGATCTTACAGTTTGTTTGTTTTTTTATTGCTCAACTCCTTGGTTGAACAAACAAAAAAAAAAATCGAAATGGGTATCCCTTGCAGGACAATGGTATAAACTGGCACCACTGAAACTTGTAGATTAAAGATTTGGTTATTGTTTCTTTTAGTTCAAGTACATCAAAACCCTGTCATTATAACATGCTAATGTCATTTCACCTGGTGATCCTGCCATGAAGGTCCTTGTTCAGGCACTTCCTGTTAAAGGGTGACAGCTGTCTCCAATTGTGCTCCTGCCTTGTCTCCTTGTCACATGTGTCTCATACGGACACTACAAATGGCAACACATTGCACAGGCACAATCCAGTGTTCACTATCAGTAATCCAATCCAGAACAATAGTTTACAACCGACACTGAAGAGAATGTACATGGAGAGGCTCAAGATCATCAGTAATGAGGTGCAATAAAGGATGAACATAAAAATAAAAAATGTTCTGAAAAGGAATACGGAAATTGTTTAACACACTGTGATTTAGTAAATGGAATGCTAACCAGTGTAGGTTTCGATCTTCCTTCATTGGTTTGTCAAATTGTAACTGGTATGTGACATGTACAAAGTCCCTTCAAGCCAACAACAATATTGATTCTACTTTTCATTTCCCTCTTGGAAAATCCGAGACGGGAGTATTAATAAACCTAGATAAACATGACATTTGTTAGGGGGTGCTCTCTGCTCTTGGCTTCACTTGTGACATACCTGCTTTGGATCAATGACTCAGAAATCACTGTTATCAACATAAAGGGGACATCAACAATAGCAGGTTTATTTTAGTTTCCTTTTTTCCTTAAAGTGACCTTGTGGAGTGGAGTCTTTCAATACACTTTTCAATATCCAGTCAGGTGAGTATATTCATGATTCCTTTACAAAGAGGCTACTGAGTAAAAAGTTACTTTAAACTGGTTTCCTTTAAAAAACGATAACCAGGCAAACAGCATGCAGATGAAGTCTATTTCTAGGAGCTTTTTTACCTGCCAAATGATTCCTGTTCAGCCAGTCTTGTGATTGAGACAACCCCATCAGATAGCACAGCCTTGCCTCTGATGTCCACAGGCAACAGCAGTACAGCCTGGCCACATATCCAGCCCATACAATGAAGAAACAGCAGAACAGGTCAACCCTCTGCTCACTCCTCCCCCTCCTCCTGTAAACAGGTTCACTGTCTGCACTAAGGACAGCACCAACTGGTGAAGAACCAGTCTTTTTAATAGTTCACAGTCATGATATGACAAAGAAGCACAATTACAGACTTGAATCATGCAATGAATTATCTATATACACTGGTATAAACAGAAATGCAATGTTCTGAACTCTACCGTGGTCATGTTTACAGAAAACGAATAATATAAACAGGCAAAATGGTGCGGTGCAGACTATTATTATTGTTAGAACCAACAGTTTATGCAGTGCTTTACAATATAAGGACAGACGGTACAATTACAATACAATTCAATACCAGATAGACCAAGCTTGTCCTATCACTCACTACACATCTGCGTTAACGGAACAAGCACAACACAAATGAAAAAACATTTCCATATATTGTACTGATCCCCCAATATAGAAAAAAATCAGTCAGTACTGCAAGAATCATCTCAACAAACTCTATACTTTTGTTCCTTTAAATGCAATATAAGCGTACCTAAAATTAGGGCCACAGGAGCACCAGGACTCACCTCAAGCATCACCCATATCTGACAAGCTGTATATACACACACTGGGTGAGCGCTTGGGGAGTCCTCCTTATTTTAACAGATATTTACATTACAGAACAGGACAGTCACACTTCCCTCATCTGACTCTGTCCACTGCCATCCTGGGCTCTGTTCCCATGCCTCAGCCCTCACCCCCTCCTCTCTTATCTATCCCTCCTCATCCTCCTGCTTCTCTATTCTCCTTCCTCCTCTAGACTGCCCCCCGTTCCTCATCCTCCTCTCCTTCTTTTACCCTCATCTTCCTCTTGTCCTTCATCCTCCCACCCCTTTGCCTCCCTGATCCTCTCCCCTTCCTTTCACTTCCTCTCTTCTCCACTCCCTCCTCCTCTCCCTTCAACTCCTCTATTCTCCCCTCCCTTTACCTCCTCCCCTTCCTCTCTTCTCATCCCTCCTCCTCTTTTCCCCTCCCTCTACCTCTCTTCTCCTTCTCTCCTCTACCTTCACGTCCTCTCTTCTCCCCTCCCTCCTCCTCCACCCTTCCCTCTCTTCTACTCATTCCCCCTCCTCCTCTCTTTGACTCCCCCCACCCCATCTTCTCCCTTCTCCTCTCCTCTGCCTTCACCTCCTCTTGTCTCCCCTCCCTCTTCCTCCAAACTGTGCAACTATTCTACAGATGTTATGTAAGGTAGGCCAAACTGTGCAACTATTCTACAGATAACATGCAAGGCAGGCCAAACTGTGCAACTATTCTACAGATGTTATGTAAAATAGGCCAAACTGTGCAACTATTCTACAGATAACATGTAAGACAGGCCAAACTGTGCAACTATTCTACAGATAACATGTAAGGCAGGCCAAACTGTGCAACTATTCTACAGATAACATGTAAGGCAGGCAAAACTGTGCAACTATTCTACAGATAACATGTAAGGCAGGCCAAACTGTGCAACTATTCTACAGATAACATGTAAGGCAGGCCAAACTGTGCAACTATTCTACAGATAACATGTAAGGCAGGCCAAACTGTGCAACTATTCTACAGATAACATGTAAGGCAGGCCAAACTGTGCAACTATTCTACAGATAACATGTAAGGCAGGCCAAACTGTGCAACTATTCTACAGATAACATGTAAGGCAGGCCAAACTGTGCAACTATTCTACAGATAACATGTAAGGCAGGCCAAACTGTGCAACTATTCTACAGATAACATGTAAGGCAGGCCAAACTGTGCAACTATTCTACAGATAACATGTAAGGTAGGCCAAACTGTGCAACTATTCTACAGACGTCATGTAAGGTAGGCCAAAGTGTATGACTATTTTACCGATGTTAGGTAAAGTAGGCCAAATTGTATGCCTATTCTACAGATTATTAAACAGTATGTGCATATTCCAAAACTATAATAATTACCTGAACATACAGGTGAAACTCAAAAATTTAGAATATCGTGCAAAAGTTCTTTTATTTTACTAATGCAACTTAAAAGGTGAAACTAATAGATGAGATAGACTCATTAAATGCAAAGCAAGATAGTTCAAGCTGTGATTTGTCATAATTGAGATGATTATGGCTTACAGCTCATGAAAACCCCAAATCCACAATCTCAGAAAATTAGAATATTGTGAAAAGGTGCAATATTCTAGGCTCAACGTGTCCCACTCTAATCAGCTAATTAAACCATAACACCTGCAAAAGGTTCCTAAGCCTTTAAATGGTCTCTCAGTCTGGTTCAGTAGGAATCACAATCATGGGAAAGACTGCTGACCTGACAGTTGTGCAGAAAACCATCATTGACACCCTCCATAAGGAGGGAAAGCCTCAAAAGGTAATTGCAAAAGAAGTTGGATGTTCCCAAAGTGCTGTATCAAAGCACATTAATAGAAAGTTATGTGGAACGGAAAAGCGTGGAAGAAAAAGGTGCACAAGCAGCAGGGATAACCGCAGCCTGGAGAGGATTGTCAGGAAAAGGACATTCAAAAGCGTTGGGGACTTTCACAAGGAGTGGACTGAGGCTGGAGTCAGTGCATGAAGAGCCACCACACATAGACGGAT